ACTATCTGTCGTAAGTTTGTTTACACCCTGGTTGTGCAAAAATACTTGGGGACTGCTAGTTGGGAGAACAATTATCTTGCTCTATCTTCTTGCCACAATTCTAAAGACCACACCATGTGTATCAACAAGGGGCGAAATCCTGGCTTCACTGGAGTCAACAGGAGTTTTGCCATTGAATTCGACGGGGCCAGGATTTCACCCATAAGTGAAATCTCAGCCTGGTAACTTTCACATTCCATGTTATACAATAATAGGCACATTGTAGTAATTTATAGATGTAGATTATAGAAATATTTCTAGTTTAATGGAACAAATCCTGCTATTCATCATCAGTATAGTTAGTAAAAAGAAAAGTACATCGGATGCATTCGATGAAGTGAGCTGTAGCTCATGAAAGCTTATGCTCAAATAAATTGGTTAGTCTCTAAGGTGCCACAAATACTCCTTTTCTTTTTGCAAATGCAGACTAACACGGCTGCTACTCTGAAACCTGTCAGTATAGTTAGTCTACATCAATCCTCCACACTTCAATCACCTTGCCCATTCTTATTCTGCTGATTTAGCAGTAAGTTTTATATCACTGGGAGATGTCTTTCAAAAGGGCAGAGAGAGGAATTAGTTTTTAAGGATAGTTGTTTTGTCTAATGGGTCCTTAGCAAAGTTGACAACTGCATCTCTCTCAAAATGTACCTCATTTAGAGGGACATCACTCATTTTAGTCCCAAAATTACCTACATCTCTCACAAATTTGAATTTGTTCCCACTTTTAGGTTGAAAATTATTTACATCAAATAGTCACGAAGCTATGATGTTCTGGAGTTATTTACACTAAAGGAAGAAATCCCATAGCATTTTCAGTTTCCTGCATAATTAATTTGTGTCCCTTATTTTGGGTCTCTGTCATACCTTGTGCCCCACATTTGAGCCTTAGCAGCTTGAGAAGTATGGCAAGAATGGAAATATTGAAGAAAGAGGCGCCAGAGAATGAATGTTCTGCTTAGCACTGTACAAGAGATTTAAATTGTCCCTTGACGTATGTATTCCTTAGTGCAAGTGAATGTATATTTTCCCAGTTGCAAACTACAGTAATACTTCTATTTAGTTGTATGGCTGGATTACTGCATAACAAGGCATTTGTCAAGGTTTTTGACTCTGACTCGTATATCAGCAGACATTTGCCAAATATGGACCATGAACTGTATTATTTATTCATAATTTCAGGCTGAGTGATTCCCACCAGATTTCTGCTCAAATGTTCAGCCCAAGTATGGTTGGAGAGAGTTAAAATGATGGAAGAAGGAACTGCAATTGTGCAATGTTAAACAATAAGCTCTTTGGGGCAGTAACTGGAGGTCTTGTTCTGTACAGGACCTAACCCAATGAAGTTCCTGACCTGGTTGTGGCCTTGAAGAACTTTTCTAAAACACGTATGGGTATACTGAAAAAAATCATTGTTATAATATAGTCATTTTCAGAAACATCTTTTCCAGTTCCAAATTTTCATTATTTTTTTTTTAAGTTCAGCAATAGTGTAATTCTAAAAAGGATGTTATGAAATGTAATAAAAAAATCAAGCAACTAATATGACATTCGCTGCCATCACATTATTCAGTCTGCTGGCATGTTCTATCTCTTCCCTCCACCCTCTGTCTGTCTTGTCCACTTAGACTGTATGCTTTTTGGGAAGGGACCACCTACTCTGTGCGTATACAGTGCCTAGCACAATGGGTGCCCCATTCTTGGTTACACCTTCAGCACTACCATAATAAACATAATTAATAATCACAGAATTATAGGACTGGAAGGGACCTTGAGAGGTCATCTAGTCCAATCCCCTGCACTCATGTCAGGACTAAGTATTATCAAGACCATTCCTGACAGGTAGTTGTCTAACCTACTCTTAAAAATCTCCAATGATGGAGATTCCACAACCTCCTTAGGTAATTTATTCCAGTGCTTAACCACCCTGACATTAGGAAATTTTTCCAATGTCCAACTGAAACATCCCTTGCGGCAATTTAAGCCCATTGCTTCTTGTCCCATCCTCAGAGGTTAAGAACAACAATTCATCTCCCTCCTCCTTGTAACAACCTTTTATGTACTTGAAAACTGCTATCATGTCCTCTCTTAGCCTTCTCTTTTCCAGACTAAACAAACCCGATTTTTTCTAATCTTCCCTTGTAGGTCATGTTTTGTGGACCTCTAATAATTTTTGTTGCTCTTCTCTGGACTTTCTCCAATTTGTCCACATCTTCCATGAAATGTGGAGCCCAGACCTGGACACAATACTCCAGAAAAGGCTTAATCAGCACGGAGTAGAGCAGAAGAATTACTTCTCGTGTCTTGCTTACAATACTCCTGTTAATACATCCCAGAATGATGTTTGCTTTTTTTGCAACAGTGCTACACTGTTGACTCATATTTAGCTTGCGGTCCATTATGACCCCCAGATCCCTTTCCGCAGTACTCCTTCCTAGGCAGTCATTTCCCATGTTGTATGTGTGCAACTAGTTGTTCCTTCCTAAATGGAGTACTTTGCATTTGTCCTTATTGAATTTCATCCTATTTACTTCAGACCATTTCTCCAGTTTGTCCAGATCACTTTGAATTTTAATCCTATCCTCCAAAGCATTTGCAACCCCTCCCAGCTTGGTATCATCTGCAGACTTTTTAAGTGTACTCTCTATACCATTATCTAAATCATTGATGAAGATATTGAACAGAACCAGACCCAGAACTGATCCCTGCAAGACCCCGCTCATTATGCATAACATAATAAGCAGCTGCAGGTAAACCCCAAAACCTCTATATTTGAACTGTTGTGCAATTTGAGACTCTGAAATTAATGCAACCACATGACAAGAAAAATATTGGATTTGGCTCAATTTGCTGTCACATTACAAAGATCAATGTATTTACATACATTAGCCAATGTTAAAGGAAACCAAAGGTCCAAAAAGGCCCAGAAGACTGGTACAACACATGTACAGTAGAACCTCAGAGTTATGAGCTGACAAGTCAACCACACACCTCATTTGGTACACAATCAGGCAGCAGTAGAGACCAAAAAAGGCAACAGTACAGTACTGTGTTAAATGTAAACTACTAAAAAAATAAAGGGAAAGCAGCATTTTTCTTCTCCATAGTAAAGTTTAAAAGCTGTAATAAGTCAATGTTTAGTTGCAAACTTTTGAAAGAACCACTATAACGTTTTGTTCAGAACTATGAACATTTCAGAGTTACGGACAACCTTACATTTTTAATATTGTTTGGTGTATTAGTTTTATTAAAGGCTTTGGGGATAGCATATGGTGGGTGGTAGCCCACAATTCTGCCAAATGACACATGGAAAAGAAAAAAGAGTGAGTTGGATTTTAATTTGTGCCATACTCTCAGGATGGTCTCAAAGGTATACCCAGCTCCTACATCTACTGATCTGTCTTTTAAGCACATTTGCCCAATCCATTGAACCAAACAGTGTCAGGCTGGCAATAGGTGCATTTCTCTTTTATCATACAACAATTTGAGGATGTTCTTTAATAATTTGTATGTTGAACATCATGGCAAGAAAACTAGTTGTACTCCCCTATAGGAGGCCAGATTCACATTTCCGATGTCTATGTATCTCCAATAAACCCATCCACCACAGTATCGATGCACCAGCAAAATTGTGTAGAGCAGTATATAGTCTAGAGGACTTTGCTTTCCACCATCCCTTGTGCACATGGAGTTTGCTTTTGACTAGAAATAGCAGGAATAATCACATAAATGTGGCTCGGACACACTTCTATTTTAGGAACTTTTTTTTTTAAATGCTTCTTACATTTTATTCTGAACATGCTAAGGATTTGTAGTCATCCTGATTTCTGGTGAAAGGGGATTCCACAAGTTGGATTTGCCACCAATAAAACCTTACCCATCATCATTGAGAGCTTCAGACTGGGCTTTGCTTATGTCAGAGTTCCTGATGTGGTAGATTGTGGAGAAGAGTCAGGGCCCAGCCATTGGAGGACTTTGTAGACCTTAAAGCTTATCTGGAATTGGACTAGATGACAACATAGCTTGCAAAGCTGTGATGTGCTCCTGTAGGTATGTATTACACAGCAGGTGATCCAGTTTGTGTTCAGCCAGCTAAAATTTCCTAGTGTCCCCTTCTTTGACTCCCAGGAATAGATGCTGGAACTCTCAAAATCCTATACTGCACATTCTTGCTCAAGTTTCTAGTGCAATTAAAAAAAATGCCATTTAGTGGTTAGCCTAGCATCTGATTCTGAAAAGTGAAGGAAATTTAGAATTTATTACAAACTACGGTTACCCTATCATACATGATTTTTGGTTAACAAAAAAAAGTTTTTGAAGCTGAAAACTTGGATGTTTTGAAAATTAAGTGTTGGAGTTTCTCAGCAAGTGTGATAAAGGCTTTACGGTATGATAACATATGTTCAACTTTTTGCCTCTTTCAGACAGTAGTGTTTTCTCTGCTAAGAATAGCGTGCAACAGGTACATCATGCTACTTGCTGAATCTTTATCTTCCATACACGTTAATGCAGAAGAACCCATGCTGCACCAAACTATAGTATATACCCTGGCTTTAGAGTGTACTTACAAGTATATGTCAAACTAGATTGCTTTGCTTCAATAACACACTATGCTAAAATATTTCCACTGAGAACTGCACAAGAATTTTGCACTCAAGAAACTCTGGCTGAGCTCAAAAGAACTACAGGAATATTTAAATAAAAAGCTCCTTGAAAGCTGGTAAGTGGAAAAGCCCTGCCAGTATTGGCATCTAGCATGTAAATGATAGATTTAGCAGTCATACATTTTAAAATTTGATTTTTTAAAAACATGGTAAAAAGGAGGTTTTAAGGTTAACATTTACAAGTGGGTCTCAAGATAAATTCTGTGCTGATAAATTTGGGGTTTTCCTATCATAATCCCTATATATGTGAGTTGAACATCTAATCTATATATGATCCACAGATAAGCATACATCAGCTTGATTTTAAACATGCACTTACGTTTATTATATTTTGCTGCTTCACTCTCTTAAAATGGTGGCGTTAGGAAAAGCTGCTTTGGCAGGCAATTGCAAAGATTCCTGCAGAGAGGAAGTGAAAAGACTGGGCATACAAACAAGGGCTGCTGCCATGTTCAAAGCACAGGGGATAGTTCATAGAGCAAAATGTAGTCTTAAGTAAATGGGTTTCAGGCAATTTCAGTGTTAAGATAACATCATTAAGAGTAGAACAGATTGTGCTCAAACCCTGCTGTTTATAATTAACACATTGCTTCCAAATACTCCAGGGTCCCCGGTAAATAGTCCTCTGCTCAGATCCACCCAGACCAATCAGAATATTTTCATCTGATTGCATGCTGGGCCAGCACCTGTTTGGACAAATCCAGGAGAGCCAAAATGCTCCTCTCCCTGGCCAGCTAAGTAGATAGAGGAACACAGCTTGCTTTAGTCATTGTCACGGTGTCCATATGGCTGGGAGGCTTGTTTTCACAAGAAATCATACAAGTACTTTATTATGTCGAAGTTCACGGTCCTGTAAACAAAAACATACAGTATTTTAGAACAATAAACCCTCGAGTGCTCAGACTGTAATCTGTTTGGTGACAATGCACACAAGACACTCTTTGCAACAGATAGCAACCAATTCCTCAGAGATAAATAAAATAAGACACTGAATTACAGAATTTAAATTGTATAAAGACATCATTATTTATAGTATTAGTCTTTTGATTGTTTAAACTTTAGAGGAATTTAATACATCAATAAAGGAATCCCTTACCAAGGATTTAAAGATTGAAAGAAAGACTCTTTAGGCTGTAAAAACAAACTTAGATCTAAGTTGACAGCAATTTATTTCTTTAGCCTGGTAAACACGATACACTAGTTGGAGATGCAGAGCAGCAATCTTTTAAGCTATTAAACATTTTGTTCCTCTTCCAAACCACCTGTTTTAGCATTATGTACTGCATAACTCCTTCATCTGTACTCATTTGCAGTCTGCATTCTTTCAGTCTTGACACTAGTTGACCCATGTTCATAGCTAAATTTGAAAAATCCAAGAATGCTACTCAATAGGATAGAAGATTTTAATGTATACTTTTGTACTTTGATGGCGGGGAGAATAAAATAGCAGTGGAGTAAAACATGTAATTAATTGTTTTCTCCAAACTCATTCTGCTGTACAATCTAACATTCAGGTTTTTGGGGTTACTATTTGAATAAATGACCAAAATTACTGGATATAATGACAAGTATAAAATTAAAAAAGTATTCAGTGCTGCAAAAATAGCTGATCACAATGCAAAGTAAAGATTAACTAATTGGATGTCTTATTTGTCAGGCCACTCATTTTATATTCTTGGCTCACACATCACTTTGCAATCTACATTTTAAAAAAGTTTCTACAAAGTATTGTATTGGGCACAGAAAATCCAGAAATTCCTGAGATATATAATCATATGTTTTCTGAAGTCTACTTATTAAAACCATTATAAAGCTAAATGAAGTGAACTATGGCAATATTCGCAAAAAGAAAAGGAGTACTTGTGGCACCTTAGAGACTAACCAATTTATTTGAGCATGAGCTTTCGTGAGCCACAGCTCACTTCATCAGATGTGTAGGTACACATCTGATGAAGTGAGCTGTGGCTCACGAAAGCTCATGCTCAAATAAATTGGTTAGTCTCTAAGGTGCCACAAGTACTCCTTTTCTTTTTGCGAATACAGACTAACACGGCTGTTCCTCTGAAACCTGTCATTATGGCAATATTATATTCTGTAATGTCAGAGAGAGGTACAAGTAAGTACCTTACTTATAAGGCTTTCTAAAGTAACACTCACTCATTCTGACAAATGTTAACCTTACCAGCTACTAAATGAAAAACTATTGTAATCATCATGTCATCATGATTAGTACCAGTAGTGACCGTATGACAAGACCTGCCACATTCAACACACACAAAAGCTTCCTCCTGCAGTTGCAAAGGAAGACCTGAATTAACCTACTTCTTAAATTTGGAGGTATCTGAACAATAATTTAAAACTTCTAATGACATATGTGCCCCTTGCCTTCAAACTACAACAACCGAAAAAATGTAATAGCACAAGGCAAACAAAGGAGTTTGTCTGCAGAAGGTACGAAGACCTGCTGAAATATTTTAGAACTACGTGATAAATGGATCTCTGTGGCAGAGAAGAAAATGATTGCACACAAGTAGCATTGACCATGTAGGAATTCTACAGGGAGGAGAAATGTGACTATGTGCCTCTCCACAAAGGTAACTTTGCAAACTTTAATTTTTGTTTCAAAAACAAAGGGAAATTACTTTGATTTTTCCTTGTAGAAGTCCAAAGATAAAAACCGAAGGGCTTGAATGACAGAGAGAAGGTATTACTCTCTATCCTTTCAATACATCAGGCTTACATTAGGAAATATGCTGGGTAATGGAGATGAGAAACCAGATGACTCTCACAACTGGGACTTTTATTTACTAGCAATTTGTTTTAGCACTATCATATCAAGGCACAAGAAATCAGTAGCCTGCTTGGTGGCCGAGGTGGTGAATAAGCTCCTTTTCTTCTGCTGCTGATAGGATGCCTTTTCCCACAAGAGGGAGAAGCAAGCAGCCGGAGTAGAAACTAAAGGCAGGTGCACCCTTGCACGGTAGCACGATCTGCTGCAGTTTGCAAATGAATCTTACTAGATCACAGAGATAAGTTTCACCCTGCAGCTGGCACCATGGAGTATAGGCGGAAAAATCTCTTACGTGTAGGATTACAGCACCAACCAATTTCTTTTGTAACTACGGCCTGTCATTCTTAGAAAAACATGACAGACAGAGGGATGGAAAGGGGATAGAAATAATGGAAATGAGATAAAGAAACAGAGAAGGAAAGGGAATGAGAAAGATGTCAGAAGACATAATAGAGATTTTCAGATTCCAAGGCCAGAAGGGACCATTGTGATCATCTAAAACTTCATCAAAAATAATTCCTAGAGCATATCATGAAGAAAAACATTCAATCCTGTTTTAAAAATTTTCTGTGATGGAGATTCCGCCACGACTCTTGGTAAATTGTTTCAGTGGTTAATTACTCTCACTGTTAAAAATGTACACCTTATTTCCAGTCTGAATTTGTTTAGCTTCAACTTCCAGCCTTTGGAATATGTTATATCTCACTGCTAGATTGAAGAGCCCATTATTAAATATTTGTTCCACATGTAGATACCTATAGACTATATTCAAGTTACCCCCTAACATTCTCTTTTGGTAAGCTAACTAGACTGAACTCCTTTAGTCTATCACTATGTTTTCTAATCCTTTAATAATTCTCATGGCTCTTTTCTGAACCCTCTCCAATTTATCAACATCTTTCTTGTACTGTGGGCACCAGAACTGGACACAGTATTCCAGCAGCGGTCACACCAGTGCCAAATATGGAAATAAAATAACTTCTCCACTCCTACTTGAGATTCCTCTGTTTATGGACCCAAAGATCACATTAGTCCTTTTGGCCCCAGTGTTACGCTGGGAGCTCATGTTCAGCTGATTATCCAACCCCTCCTCCCCCAATCTCTTTCAGAGTCACTGCTTCCCAGGATAGAGCCTGCTATCCTGTAAGTATGGCCTACATACTTTGTTCCTAGATGTATATACTTAGCCATATTAAAATGCACATTGTTTGCTTGTGAGTAGCTTGCCAAGTGATTCAGATCACCTTAATTGTGAACTGTACTCTTCATTATTTACCACTCCCCCATTTTTTTGTCATCTGCAAGCTATCATTCATGATTTTACATTTTCTTCCAGGTCATTAATAAAAATGTTAAATAGCATAGGGCCAAGAACCAATCCCTGAAGGGCCCCACCAGACATACACCTCCAGTCAACGATGATTCCCTGTTTACAATTACATTTTCAGACCTATCAATTACTATCTAGGTATGGCCCCATCACTGTAGTATCTCAACAGGTCCAACTAACTGGAAACAAACATAATCTCTCCCCTTCACAAAAATGGCTTGAATAGGTTGTGTATGCAGGTCCTACTGAGAGACAGCTGAGCTAACAAGTTATATTTTGCATTGAGTTCTGAAAGTGGTGAAGACTAACAACTGCTCTCTTGCAGGAGTGAGTTCCACAGTGTAGGTTCTGCTCCTGTGCTCTGAGCCTCCCTATGCTCCTGGGCAGTGTCCTAGTTCCAATGGAACATAGGTTTGGTGGAAGGTCACATTGCAAAGGGAGAGCTAATCTCTCAAGTGGCCTGGTTCAATTCAATGGAGCACTTTGAATATCAGGACAGAGTCCTTGAACTGGATTCTATTCATTTCAGATCCAGTACAAGCAGCAGAGCACCAGGGTGGTTTTGTTCACAGCAAACTGTGTTGCACATGAGCTGCTGTATTTCTTTTCTTTTTTAAACCAGTGGAAGTTTTTTCCAGACATCATTCACGTGACTTAATTCCTGGGCACAGTGAGTTACAATAAAGCCTGGAGGGCAGGATTGTGTGGCTCACACTCTGGCCAGGCCCTGAATCAGATAGGATTAGGCCATGTTGCATATGGAACTGGGTGTTTTTTGCTGACAAGACTATTTGGACATCCAATAACATGGAGAAGTCCAAATGAACCCAAGGCTATGAGTCAAAATCTAAAGGTAGGTTCCCTCAACCGTTGGATGTGTTAGAGGCGGACAGATCTTTGAAGTGCTTCCTTTCCTCCTGCCAGCATCCCATATCTTGCCTGGGTTCAGCTTTGGCTAGCTGCTCCTCATCCACGAGCTGATTCTGTATTTGATTAGACACAGAGAAAAGGTGGAGGACAGGGGTATTTATATTTGATGCAAAGGAGACGTAGGGATGATTGTTGTCTAAGTACTGCATACACTTCTTCCTGGGCTGTTTCACCAACTCTAACTGCTTTGTATAGCTAGTGACTAGTATGGGGAGAGCTTGAGCCTTGTCAGAGACCACAGGTAAATGAGGGCTCCAGAGGAACAGATTTTTTTTTTTTCTGGTTTGATTTAGCTTATATAAATTGGAGATCACACAAGAGAGAATATATAAGAATTCTCATAATCTATGCTGGTTTTTATATATTGTTGGCAACAAATTTTGTGTTAAGTGCTAAGTATTAGCTAGGGTTGAGCTACCATTATGATGCTGAATCCCATATTCTTCATAAAATATTCTCATAATATGAATATGGTATAACTAAGATACATTTTATGCAAGATGGGTCATGTGAGGTATCACTGGAAAGGTTATGATTTGCTGAATGTTGTTATCCACACATGTGCCAGTCTTGTATCTGAAGTTAGGAATATTGACTATGTAACAATTACAACTGTGTGTGTACTTGGGGAACGCCCACCAGACAGTAGGGAATGAGCCTGGATGGGCCATTAGGAAAGACAATGAGTCTTTGAAGATGCTGATCTCCCATCTTCCTGAAGTTCCTTCCTGTGACATTACAAATAAATTTTGTCTCAGGGTTGCTTTGACCATGCAAGGTCATGTGATCATGTCACCTG